TACTTTCCATGGCTTGCTGGTATGAGTTAGGGTCTACATCAATGCTTATGTCACATTCACTTTCAATAGTGTAAAACCACATATTCATCTGAATTGGCAGATTTTTTTTTCCTTCCAGAACGCCTTAATGGTTCTTGTGGTGCATTATTATCTTTTTGAATTGTGACAGGTTCATTAACTATACTTTCAGCTAGTGGGTTTTGCACACCATCATGTTGTTCTATTGTGTCGCTGAACTGTGATGAAACAATAGGAACAACTATCTTAGGTGCAATACCAGGTAAAGGAATTTCATCCTTTATATATTTAATGTCTATTTTTGTGATTCACCACTCCCATTAGTTTCACCATTCTCAATGAACCAAGCATTACCCGTCTCAACTATTCTCGTACTATGATTAGAACAGTAATAACCATATCCGTTAAAGTCGATTCTGCCTCTTAGCTACACCATTCTGCTGAGGAGTATCAAACATTATATATTGTGCACAAATGCCTTTATTTTCAAGGAACTTTGCAAATGGACCTGGACATTGTCAACTTTCATTGAACTTTCCATAATACTCACCACCTCTATCAGACCTCACAACTTTTAATTTTTTTATATAATTGCCTTTCCACTTCATCAATGAATATTTCTAGAACATTCCTTGACACAGACTTTTCATGCAGTAGATATGTATGTATATCCAAAACGTAAGTAATTGTCAATAAAGGTAATGAAATACTGTTCACCGCTCCATCACAGAACATCAAAAGGCGGGAAAACGGCTAATTAGTACCTCAACTCTGTCAATTGGTACCGATTAGTACCTGAACAATTTTGGTGTGCTAATTAATACCTGAACTTCTGAAAATCGGAATATTCATACCCAAACTAATATTTTTTTGGCCGAAACCAATTTATACCCGAATTCTGTTAGTCAATATCGTTAAAATATTAATGGTGATGACTCAGATGCCATGTGTCATCCTCGTTGGAACGAAACTACAAAACAGCGTCGTTTAGTGAAAAAAAACAAATTAATCATGACATGCACGCCTCAGGAATCGAATCTGGGTTCAAGAAGGGTGTTGGGCACTATGTAACCACTAACCACTGCGCCAATTGCATAACTTTGTAGGCTAATAATCACATAAACAAATAAACCGTAAGTTCGAACCTCAACCCAAGTCGACGTCCATATATCAATCGACATAATTTGCAATAACCAGATCACGGATACTGTTAAGGTCGATCCCTATGTGGTTTCCGTCGATGTCGTTGACTTCAAAGTTCTGACCGGTGTTGAATTTGACGGCGAGGAAAGGAACGGGGAATTGAACGGGGATGTTGGTGGAATGGGAGAGGACGAAGCAGATGCCGAAGCCAGGGCTTGTTGATATGTCAGGGAGCTCGGAGAAGACGAAGGAAGTGGAGAAAGAGGAGAGTCGGGTCGGGTTTTGGGTTGGATCGAGTGACGAGAAGAAAGAGATTGGATTTGGATCTTAGCAGCTAATCATCCCCTTTTCTATTTTTGTGGTTACACATATTCAAAAAAGTTGTTATAGCGCAGTGGTAACATGGCCCATCGGCCTTCTTTGAACCCAAGTCCGATCACCAAAGTATGCATGTCATGTTTAATTTTTTTTCGTGACACATGGCATCTGAGTCATCACCGTTAATATTTTAACGACATTGACTAACAGAATTCGGGTCAAAGTTGATTCTGGCCAAAATAATATTAGTTTGGGTATGAATATTCCGATTTTCAAAAGTTCGGGTATTAATTAGCACATCAAAATTGTTTAGGTACTAATCGGTACCAGTTGACAGAGTTGAGGTACTAATTGGTCGTTTTCCCCATCAAAAGGCCCACAAACATCGGTATGTATTAACTCTAATATCTGAGTGCTTCTTGTGGCTGTTTTCTTTACTGTAGGTTTAGTTTGCTTTCCTTTAATGTAATATATACATACATTTAGGTTATTAGAATCCAATTGAGGAAGATCTCATTCTTTACTAACTTCATAATCCTTTCTTTGGAAATGTGAACTAACCTTTGATGCCATAAGAAAAAAAAACTTTCATCTGATGCACTATGCTGAACGCCTCAGTTTTCAATATTAAACAGAGATTCAGAAAACGTTTCATCAAGATTGAACCTATAAAGTGAATCAATAAAGCACCACTACCAAAATGTAATCATTACGGTACAATGAGAAACAATGTCTATTCTTAAAATAAAAAAAATCTAAATTATCCAGTTACTTAGAAAAACAAGATTTCTAGCTCATTCAGGTACATAGAGACACTTTTCAAGATCAATATGACACCCAGTGTCCATGACAAATCTATACGTCCCTATGCATTCTATTATTTCTTTCATCTTGTTTCCCATGAACAAAAATGTTCATGTCCTCTTATGGACATTGATAAACTGAATCTTTGCTTAATATGAGACACATGAACAGTAGCACCATAATCTAACCACCAAATATTATTAGGCACTTCGATAAGGTTCGATTCAGAGCAAACGAAAACTGTAATGTTTACCTTTCTTATCGAACATACCTTTATTTTCGGATAATCTTTCTTTAACTGCCCTTTCCTCCTGTAAAAGAAACAATTCCATTTCTTATGACTTATACTTTCATGTTATTTCACAAGGGTTTTATCCTTTCCTTGGTCCTTTCTACTTGATTTCCTTTATTGCTGTTGGCACTTCCATGACCTACGAGATTCACAACTTGATCCTTCATTTGCTTTAATTTCTCTTTCTCTTGAACTAACATAGCCTTTAATTCCTTAAAGTTATGTTTTTCTTTAATGGTGTTGTAATTCACCTGGAACTGGCTAAACTCAAATTAAAAGAAGAGAGTTCATGTTGAATTGGACAAAGAACTGTTCATAAACCTGCATTCCCAAGGTCATCAACTTTGCTGCCAAGTTCGACATGTGTGTCACATGATCATGGATTGGCTGAGACCAGTCAAACTTTCTTGTAGTAAGTTCATTCATTAAGCTTCCTACAATTGATTTATCAGCCAAATCCTACTATGAACACTCCTTAATTTTCTGCAAAAATTCCTTTGATTTCTTTGTCTTAGACATAGACGGCTTAATAATTTCCGCCATCGTCAACCTCATAAGGTTCAAGCTCAGCCTGTAAGATCGCTCCTCTCTCCCATACCAAGACTTTTCATATTCAGAGCTATATACTGTAATGATTGAGGGCTCCTTTTCTATCAATATGGCAGAGTCCAATGCCATAACACCCAATGTAAACCAGATCTGTTCGGACCATTTCCCAAAACCGAGCTCATTGAACTTTACGACAGAGTTAGCAGATGCAAATATATGAAGCTGCAAACATTTTATACATGCTTATCCTTTAATGCTTTGTGACTTTAATATAGATTCAAACACTGTAATATAAACTTTAACGCATGTAATTAAGCAATCTTTGGGCAGTACTTAAATACACATACTTTAATCGATGCTAAAATTTACTCTTTTATGACTAACCAAATCATACACAAATCAAATAACCATCCTACTTTTGGGTATACATGTTATTGACCATAGTAAAAAAATGGTTAATCCTTTTAATATTAGACTATTTTCAAATGATTCACCTTTGGGTAATCTCTTTGAATATAGATAGTAAAACAATTGTTCAATCAAAATTAATTTTAATATTATTTATAGCATCTCTTTAATTATCATAATTGACTATTTTTTAAAATGTATATGTGTAATATAACAAGACTACTTTAGTGACTAACATGCTATATATACAATATAAACATTGAAACTTTAATAGGTAAACATTTCATAACATAATTACCCTTTTATTTTTGATAAATTCAAAGCGGAAGCATTTCAATTTTTCATAATATCTAATAACATTAAGTGTTACTTCAAAACCATATGAGACACCAACCATACAAAACTAAATCAACTGTTCAAGTTTTATTTTATAATGGTGCTCTCTTGAAGTATAACAATTTTATGCAAAGAACCCTTCATCCATGATGAATTAAACAAATCTAGATTGCTCTGATACCATAATGTAAGAATTCTATTATGATTTCAATTACGAAATCTACTTCCAAGATCATCTAGATTTGAATTTAATCCAACTAATTACACTTTTATAGAAGAAGAAGAAATACTAACCTTGATCCATGCTTAGATTGGTCATGAAATCAATTGATTACTTCTTCCTTAATATTTGTCTTTTAGGATCTCTTTTGATGGAGAATAGATCAAACATTTCTATCTTTCTTTTCTTTTATGGGTGTTTAAAAAGCTTTTCTTTTATAGTGATTCTCTCTCTCATAACCTTTAGGATGGAGCTAATTCATCTATTTATAAGAGAGTAAGAGTACAAACTTTTTCTCTAAGTTTTCTTTTAGCTTAGAGCCAAAGTTTCTCTTTAGCTTAAGGTCCAAGTTTTTCTTTAGCTTGCTCACCAAGCTTTACTTATTACACACCTCATTTCTTATATATATATATATATATATATATATATATGATCTTTAATGAAATACTTTGTCAATATTGGAAGGTAAGGATGATGGTTAATACACCCGAATCCTAATGTCTGTAATCGAATCCATCACGGTGTTATCTTTTATGTTAGAATTCTAAATTTTAATATGAACTTAATCCTTATAATTAAAAAAAAATTTACATGTTACCTAAGAACAGAAATATTCTTACAAACAAGACATGAGAAACAACGGGCATTATATTTGCTCTTTGTATGTTTTTAATGGGAGAAGTGGCACTGACTTTGTTTTTTTTTTATGTTTATACTATTAATGGGAGGAGTGGGTCATCCTCTTTTCTACTTGTGGACAAAAAGAAAAAAAAAATTCTGGGGAAAGATTTGGATGTGTGAGTTTTAATTCGGTATGCCACATAATTTCACTTGATGTATTATTATAATTTTCTTGTTTGATCAGCGTTGGTTAGATTTCGTATGTGGTTCAGTTAGATTATTTTGCCCGAGTGGTGGCTTTGTTCAGATACCAAACCCAATCACTACACTTTTCACCTTCCCCCGTCTCTTAATTCCTTCTTTTATTAGCTTCTTCTCTGCCACACCTTGACCAGTCACCATCTTCCATTCTAGCAGCTTTCTGGGTTTTGAAAGAAAATCTTAACTACAAGAATGCCATCAAGGAATTATCGGTTCTCTTCCTATTCATCTTCTTCTTTTTCTTCTTCGTCATCTTCTTCCCAGCTAACTACTCCAAGGTAGTTACTTTAATGAGGTTAATCTAGTCTAATTTGATTCTTATTGAAATTTCAATATTGTTAATTAATCATGGGGATTTTTATTCATTTTGCAGAGCATTTCAAAATGGGCCCTCAGTAGCCATTTCTGTAAGTTCTTGTTACTAATACTCATCTACTCGTTTTTTTATAAAATAATACTCATCTACTTGAAATCTTGATGAATTGATTAATTTATCATTTTGTTTCTGAAATCGTGGTTTTACTTTGTATCCAAAGAAATCTCCACCCTGGGATGTCGAAAAAGCCAAGTCCAGCTTTGGTTGCACAATGCCTAAGGTCAACTTCACATTTCATGCTTTTTATATACTATTTTGAACGGGTTTTGTTTGCTTGGCGATAGATTTTATTAATTTCACACTGCCTTTGATTTCTCGTAGCTTAAAATTCTGGACGGATTGTCTGACTTCTAATCTCATTCTATCACAAGCTCTGTTCAAGTTATTTATTAAACGTATATTTAATATGACATATATATACAAGGCCGTGATTTATGTATATAGTTAAAGTTTCCTTCTAAGAAATTTTTCTATTTGAATCAGGACCTTGTACACCCTTGCTCTGATTCCAGAACTATATTTTCTGAAAATTATTATGTTTAAATTTTAGGCAGACAAAATAAATAAAATACATACATGCGAGCTCATCTGTTTATGGGCTCTGGATTTTGCAGTCTAACGAAGAACTGAGGGAGGAGATCACGGAGCTTGAGACAGAGATCTTACAGTTAGAGCGGTATCTTCTCTCGCTCTATAGAACATCTTTTGGAGATCATTTTCCTTCATTATTATTACCAGATGATTCTTCCCTTCCTCCATGGAAGCCTTACACGACCAAAGTTCACAATGACCAAGTGTCTTCTGTGTCTGATACATCTCTCTCGCCGAGTTTCAAACCATTTTTGGAAACGGTGAATGGTCTTAGTTTGAAGATGCATACATAGATGTAGTTGCAGTTTTTTTTTTTTTTTTGTCCACTAATATAAATTTGTGATTGCAATACGTTTCAGGACAAGATAAAAAGATCCGAGTCTGGTAACCCGAGTTTGGCAGATCTTCTTGGTCTTAACAATCTTGGTCCTAATAAACTCTCTGAAGAGCTTCTGAGACTTATTAGTGTGATACACTTCAAACTCTCAGACAAGGGGCATAGCAGATTGGTCAATAACACAAATAATGAAAATATCAATGATGAGAAGTGTGGACAGGAACTTGGAGTCATTATCCATAAGCTTTGCCTCGATGAGGACAATTTGAAGTCCGTTGATAGTTTGCTTCAGAATTTTAGGTAAGGTTACGCTGTAAAAAATACTTGCACTACATAGATATTAAAGTTGCTTACTCCGTTTAGAGCTGACTAAATGCAGATCGCTGGTTCAAAAGCTTGAAAATGTTGATCCGGCAAGGATGGCTCGGGAAGAAAAGGTTGCATTCTGGATCAATATCCATAATGCTCTGGTGATGCATGTACGAAAAATAGCAAATCCGAGTCGTGGAATATATTTTCTGCCCCTTTTGTTATCTTTATGATCTAAATGTTGCTGTGTTACAGGCGTATATTGTAAATGGAATGGGTGAAGATGCAACAAGCACGATGATCTTGAAGGTTTGAAATATGGATCATTAGAGGTTTAATGTTAGATCATTTATCATCTAAGATCTTAAGCAATTATATGTTTAACCTGTATAGGCAGCATTTAACATTGGTGGGAAGTGGGTGAATGCATACGATGTCCAAAGTTCGATACTGGGGCTTCGTGAATGCCGTTCACCATCAGTAAGTTGATTATGATTTCAATTATTTGTTTACGTTTGCATTAGATTTCCTCAAATAAAACCATGGTGCTTAGTATTTAACCAAAACCCCACTGCGAGTTGCAAATGAATTTCTCTTTGCAAAACTATTTAAGAGAAAATTTGAGAAAGTCTTTGTGAAACTTATAAAAAACAATTTCGTTAAAAAAAAAACTTATAAAAAACAACCAGGGCATTTCTTTACATACAATCATGTTGCAATCTCCTCATTTCAAGAATACAATTTTAACACGTTTTCTATTTGGTCATGATAGCGTTTATGGATGCTGTTTTCACCTGCTAGGAGTTCAAAGACAAGTAGCAGTGGCCACACATATGCGTTGGAGTATGCCGAACCACTTCTTCACTTTGCCCTTTCTACCGGGGCATTAACCGATCCAATGGTATTACACCGACTAAATTCTTTCCTATTTTGATCTACTCACCAACCGAGATAGCTATTCCCTAACAATCTATTGGATTCACCAGGTCCGAATTTATACAGCGGAAGGAATCTTTCAAGAACTAAGGCAAGCAAGAGACGGTTTCATCCAGACAAGAGTTGAATTTGATAAGAGGGAGACAAGGATTCTCTTGCCAAAGATCATTGACAACTACGCAAAGGATACTTCTCTCAACATGGCAGAACTCTTTAATATCATATCGGAGTGCCTAAGAGAGACAAAAAGAACGAAAATGAGAAGAGTTGTGAAGAAAAGGCAAGATAGATGCATTAACTGGATTAAGCATGACTTCAACTTCCGTTATTATATCCATTGGGAAATTATGAGAGAGAGTTTTATAATTTAACCACAATCTTTTGTACTTAGTCGTTCAATGGTTAGTTTGTGTCTGTAATTTATTTCTTTTCTTTTTTTTTTTAGTTATGTTTTTTTGTGCCAATATATTACCATGCCGGATTTCGCCACCTGTGATGACTGGCCTAAATATTTTCTAATAACTGTCTTAATTTCATTATAAAAAGAAAGCGTGTCGTTCGTTGTAAAAAGAGAGTCCCATCCTAAATAAAGAAATCAACTTATAACGTCCAAACTCCGATTTCTTTATTAAATTATTCAGGACCGAGCTCAAATATCCCTTTGTAGCTAGCTCGTCATCTAGCTAAACAAATCATCCTAACGATTGCCAAACTCTAAAGCTTTATACAATACGAAATTCTCCGAGCTCAATTTTTAATATAATTTGTTTCAGGCCTAATCTTACAACAATTGGCGCCCACCACGGAGTTGAAAGATATTTCTACAGAGGCAGAACCCTCATCATCTTGCCCCCTTCTTTTCCCGAAAATCAAACCCAGGCAACTTCAACATGCCATCAGCATTTCTAAAGGTCGACAACAACCCTGATTAATATTCCAGTTCTGTTCGAAACATTACTCACTCGCATAGTAGAATATTAATAATACTAGATTATGAACCTCTTAAAAAATTTGTATGGTTTACATATATATATATATAATAATATATTTCGTATTTTTTTTGGTTCTTTATTTTGGTTTCATGATTTCATGTTGAATAACTTTGATTTATATCTATAGTGGATTGATATGACGTTCAGATCACAATAAACTAGGAAAATAGAATATAATAGTAAACTGAAATCCGCTATGATAATGAAATCAGAGAACAAAAATAACTCAGATAATCTATTACAGTTTTTGATTTAACAACAAACATTATAAGCTCTTCTCTAAGAAACCCATCACGTAGCATAGTTGTATTAGATCCAATCTTACTCATCAGTTTGATCAATGTCATTGGTCTTCTTAATCAAGGCATATACCTATGTAATTAGAATTGTTATATCATTGCTATTTTTAGAGAATTATAAAGTATATTTGATTGTTCATACCTTTCTTTAAACGACTCTACTTTTTCTATTTGAGGATTAAACAGAAATCTTGATAACCCTATGTCTTCATGTACTGTTAAGACACCTATAAAATTAAAATTACTGTAGTAAAAACGTACTATATATCGTCACCAGAATCTTATCCATACGTTGATTATAATAACAAAACTATATCAAATCATGAATCAAACTTGCAATCAGTTAAAACACAATAATTTCAGAAGCACATCCAGACCACCAGTGACTTTGGAACTCATCAGCCAAGTTACCATTTGCAAGACAACTGATTGAAACAAAATTGTTAGTTATAATGATACTTGAATTAAAAGGGTAAAATTAACATCAATCACCTGTTATCTCTTATAGCAAACTTTAAACAGCTGGTAAATTTTTCATATTCACAATCAGTTGAGTATTCTTTAACCCTAATAAGTCTTCCAACATACACCAGAACACCTATCAAATCTGTTTTGAAAATAGAGTAATTACAATAAAGGGTAATAGATATTAAAATAAATGTACCATATGACCTTATTACTATTCATAGTTAGGTAAATGGAAAAAACAATTATTCAAGCACTGTGCATTTTTCAATAATACAATCTTACCCCTATTTAGTTATTCCTGTAACTTTTTCTCTCCCTCACTACAATTCGAAGCCTACAGCGACGAACACACTCTCTCTCACCTATTTCTTTCTCTCCCTCACTACAATTTGAAGCATAGACAAGGATGAAAACTATAATTTATTGTTGTCTTTTTTGCTTAAATGTTTCAATACGTACCTGCTCAGATTTTGTTTTTTGTGCTCTAATGGTAGAAATGATTGATTTTTTTTTAAGTTCTGCAAACCGGATCGAATCTTGCTCTAGATCTGTCAAGATTCATCACAAATCATGACAATGTATCCAGAGGACGACTCGATACAAATCTGCAAGGTGTGGAACGAGAATCTTGAATCAGAGATGGCGAGGTGTGGAACGAGAATCTTGAATCAGAGATGGCACTGATTCGAGAAGTCGTCGACGATTTCACTTTTGTCGCCATGGATACTGATTCTAGACAGATGTTTTAGTGCAATATATAAGTTGTTAACATGTTAAATTTATTTGTATCGCGTTAAACAAAATAATATCATACTTTAAAGTAACCTAGATAGCTGCAAATGTATTTACTCTAAAACGTAGATAGCTGCCAATGTCTTACCTCTAACTAAGTTTCAATGTTTTGAAAATAAATAACATGTTAGCGAATACAAATATTATGTTAGAGATGATAAATAAATTGTTAGCGGATAAAAATAGTATATTAGAAACATTAAATAAATTATTAGCGAATACAAATTTAGTGTTAGCAAGATAACATATCCTTTATTGATGTAAACTTAGTATTAGCAAGATAACATAATAAAATATGTAGTATGATGATAAGTTATGTAGTTGTATAACTTATATGTTAACGAAAGAAAAATGATGAAAGAGAAACTCCATATGGGAAGAAAGACTCCTAACAAAAGAATGAGAGGTTAAAAAGTAATAACATTTTCAAAGTGTCCGACAACTGTCTTATCAATTTACTGTTTTTCCCATTTACTTAATTTTGACTAGAATGTAGAATTTCTAGCAAATTGTCTCTAGATATTATCAAAATTAAGAGACACATTATGAGTGTAGGTCCCACAGACCTATTCACCACAAAAAGACTATATCATCCTTATTCTTCAAAATTTTGCTATCACAGTTATCACGATAATTTTTTAATTATTATCAATGAATATTCTAAATAAATTACTGTTAATACACATATTATGCTGATATTATTGTTTATATTTTATATAAATTATGTATTAATATAAATATTATTGTTAAAGTATTGTTAACGTACTATATTTCTCGATTATTAGTGTTAATATTTTATATTTAACAAATATTATTGTTAATATGTTAATATTTTATTATAAAATTTTGGAAGTATCATGTTATAATTATCTGATATATTTGTTACCACTTATAATTATCATATATATTTGTTAATATGTTAATATATTATATGATAACAAAGTTAACACAAATTTATAGCGATAACTTTCGTATTTAACACAAACTTTCATTTTATAGCGATAACATGTTAATATTTTATTACAAAATTTTGAAATTATCACGTTATAATTATCTGATATATTTGTTACCACTTATAATTATCATATATATTTGTTAACATGTTAATATATTATATGATAACAAAATTAACACAAACTTATAGCGATAACTTTTATATATTTTATGTTAACTAAATAGTTATCCAATAATAAAAAATATCTTCTCTTAGATGAATAGTGTCAGCGATGATGAACAGTATCTACAGTAATGCCATGTGCAAAAAAAAGACCAATGGCAATTTGTGTAAATAAGTAAAGTTAAAAGGATAGTAATGGATAAAACAAAAAATTATCTTTGCTACTTACTAATTATTAATTTATGAATGCTATATATTTAATTTTTTGATTAACCATTGATATAGAATAAATTCACTCATGAAAATAACCTTTTCAAGACAATTATAATTTATAAAATGTGAAAACAGTTTTTTATACTAAACGTTGTTCATCAAATAACAGAACGATATAATAGCATAACACTTACCAATCAGATACTTAGTATTAAGTATTAACAATACCATCATAAACTTCTCGAAAATCGGAATAAGTCAAAAATATTTTATTTGATCTTAGTTTTATTGGATCCACAGTTGTGTTATCAAGTATGAATATACGTGATTTGTTTGGGGTCATTTGTTTTGAACAGAATGCACAATGAAATCTTTAACCGAATTCCATTTTCCTTCATGAAAAGCATTGTTGTAATATGAAACATTGACGGGGTTTTTTATAGAGGCTTGAGTTTTGCATCTTTGGAAAACATTTTGTTGGTAAGAGATATTGTTTTCAAAATAGTAAACTCTAAATCAACTAACAATATAATATATGCACATCTTTATGTATCAAACCATGTTTTTAAAAAGATAGCAACAGAATAAATTCATAAAGATTACTGAATTACTTGTTAAAGAAAATAAATGATTTTGATAATAAAGTGAATACTTACTTCTTCATCAACAAAAATGAATTCTAAACCTTCAAATCCTTGCGGACCAACATTCTTCCACTACTTCAGCACCAATACTGCTATTTTCTAACCAGATCGCCAACCATGTAACTGAGAAACTTTTTCAAATCATTCCATTTCAAAAAGTACTCGTTTTGCTGAATAACAACATGAAATCGATTTTTTCCTTTATTTGTAAACAGGTTTAACATAATCGAGTAGGTTTAAATAACATTGGGAATATAAGTTCTTATTCACTATCAAATTAGATATAAGATCTTTTCTTTAAATTCAGTTGATATAAATAAATTATGTGTGTAATTATGAAATATTATCTATTAAGAGAAACGGTTCCTATAATCTATAACTACCAAGTATAATAAGTAAGGATCTATAATTCTTTTGAATAGAAAAGGAAAAAACTTATATGATAAGTCAAATAGTATTTTTTAGATTATATGTCAACTTTGTATACCTAGTATTAATAAATCAAGTATAAGAAGGACTTTATCACCAAAACAATAAAAGATAATCTAACTAACTAACTAATAATTTATAATTTTGGATAATGTAGTCAAACAATATATAGATTAAGTAATAATTTAAAATATAGAAAGAAATGCAAAATATAATATATATATATATATATATATATATATATATATATAGCAAAAGAAAATACCAAATATAATAAAAGATCTGAGTCAATAACATAAATAATAACTTTTAATATACTTAACATTGGTCCATTTACAAGTAAGACAATGTACTTCTTGTCAAGTGAGCACTTACAAGTAAGACAATGAAAATATTTTGTTTTCACTCAAACTTGTAAGAACTAAAACAAATAAACTATTGCTACTGATCTGATCGTAGATAGACGCACAAAGAATCCGATATGATCAATACCAGCTACATGTTTCATTTTGAACATATGCTATTTGTGCGTCTATCTGAGGATCAAATCAAAAGAGATAGTTTAGAAAAAAGTAAGAAAATAACTACTTTCTCTTTTCTATTACAGGTCAGAAACAAAAGAAAAAATATTATTTGATGCAAATATGTTTTTTGTACATTTCTCATAAAATCAGAACAGAAGAAGCATTTATAGACGGTTTTCTTTAAATACAAAAATTTTATTGTTGGTTAACTGGAAAAACTTCTCTTCTGTTGTTTATGTTATAGAGTAAGTAGAGAGTGATCACTTTCCATTTTCCGTGTGTTTTTATATTTCTCCAAAAATCTTTTGAAATTAAAACTCATTAACTAACATTTGACTGAATTCTCACTGATTCCCAAAAAAGATGCCTTTTATTAAAACTAATGCATTGTTATCTATATTACAATCAAATTTTGTTCTTCAATATACATATTAGCTAATATCTTTAAATAAAATAAATGAAACGTACATCCACCATTAGTTGTGAAATCACCCCAAACATGATGTTCAGCTTTACTCTCTTCATTCAACATAAATATGATATATATACGAATAAATCCCAAACTTAAGCCCATTAAAACCCAAATTATAAACTAGTAATATATTTAACATCGGTTCAATATACTTAACATCAGTCCAATATACTTAACAGAACCCAATAACATTCAATTTTTAGAAAAATGTTCAAGCCCGCACGCATATCCTAATATTTGTTTAAATAGTGGATGTATTTTTTATTAAAAAAAAACAACAAAAAGACTGAAGATTTAGGAAAATATCCGTTCACTTTTCACTAACCCAAAAATAAAAATTCTCGAACTGAAAATACATATCCAAACCGAAAATGAATTTTAAACAATATGCCAATAAATAACAACAAAGAGTTTAAGGCATTGCTTGGCATTGGCTTTTAAACTCATTTTACAGTTTAAAAATTATATTTTTGTCAAATACACTTTTTTCTTTAATTTTTTTTTAAGTTTTAAAAACCAAACTTTTTGGTTTTGGTCATCAATTCTAAAAAGTACGTGAGAGTAGTTTTTACAAAAAATTAACAGAAATAATTACATTTATTTTTTTTATCTATTTCTTTTTTTCCCAAAATTATTCAAATGATTTTTTAGATTTATATACAAATAATTGCAAATTAAATTTAATTGATTAAATCTTATTTTTCTGCTTTTTTTGAAAGAAAAAATTAAAATTTTTGTAATGTAAAAGTTAACAATTAGTTTCTACAGTTTTTATTATCAAACAATTTTTTTAAGTAAAAACAAAAAATTTTACAACAGAAATTTTTACAGTTAAAAATCTACTGTAAATATCAAGAGGAACAGTTCTTACCAAGCAGACAAGCAGACTCTTAGCATACAAACAGTCATTTGTTAGGAATTATACGTATATTCTATGAGTATATTTCTTTGTATAATATAAACTAAAACACCAGAGAACAGAACCCAAGCTTAATTTGTTCTGGCAAGCCACAAAACGAACAAAAGAAAAACTAAACTCTACAGATCAGTAAAAAGGGTTTTCTAGTCATGCCACGCAAAATCTCCTCTGCCTTCCCTGAAGCTTCGTCCACTTCTTCTGTAATCGATTTCTGCATCCGAACTGCACAGACCCGTCTTGTACTTTCTACTAGACTTTTCTTGTCCTACATTGCCCGGCGTGCTTGATCTCCGCATATGATCTGCGTTGATATAACACATTTGGGATCAAAAGAGACAAAACAGAGCGGCTCTCGTTAATATATCTATCTGCCTTAAACCGTAAATTTCAAAATAGGTAGTGTGACATATTAGTATTACCGTTGTACAACTCGAGGTCCAAGCTAGCCGCCTCAGAGCCATATGAATTTAACCTTTCACCTTCTGATGCATCCAAGGTACTACGAGGTCTCAAGGAGTCATCGTTAACATGTGTGATCTCCACATATTGGCTTGTAGTAATGACTTCATCTGCGCTAAAACCAAAGGAAGCTCTGTATGCTTCTAGCTCTTCCATATCTTGCTTAGAAATGCTTTGACCGTTGCCGCTATTCGGATAAACATCTGAATCCTTAGAAACACTTAGTCTTCCACCAGTATGAGAAAACGGAGCATCATGGTCAAGATAGTATCGAGCAAATGTGTCAGGACAGAAGAAATTTGAGTCCTGAGATGCCTTTGGAGTAGTGTTTGTTTCAGGTGTCTGAGCATAACTAGAGTCACTCCTTGAACATTTGACGGTTCTTGGAGAAGCCAAAGGATCCCATTGTGGTGAGAACTCGCGCTCAGGAAAAGATGAGGATCGACAATCGCCTGAGATCCTTGAGACTGGAGATCTGAGACTGCTTGCAGGACTGCCAGGACACAGTGCGTATGTTGCATGAAGATCGTTTGCAGAAATATAATTGGCTTTCTCTGTTTTCTTGAGATCGGCAGCAGATGTCAAGAACCGAGCATAAGGTACATCGGGTGAAGAAGGAGTGGTGAGGTGTGCTAACTCAGGAGGAGGAGTGAAAGGAGCAGTAGATGGCTCTGTGGTATAGGTTGAGAAAACCGGTGGTGAAACCAATTGGGTCTCATGGGCATAAGGCCCGGTTGCAAATAATGCAGATGAAGGACCTCCAGGCGAGTTAGCAGATAAAGAAAGGAGACAATTCGGAGATTGGGCTATCGAAGGAGCAGGAGAATGTGAGAAAGAAGCTGGAGACGAAGGTGGAGCAAGCATAGATGTAGCGTGATTACTCAATCCCGGTGCCTGAGATTGATTTGATTGACCAGTTGCTGCTACATTCCCCTCAGTTATTCGAGAAGCCGGCACGATTCGTCTCTCTCCTTTTTTTGAACCAAAACAAGACAATGCTTTTAAACACCCAACCCATCGCTTCCTCTGTCAATCCAGTAAAAACTCATGAGAAAGAATGAAACACCCAAACATACAAAACTGTGAAACATACTCACATAAGCATGAGAATTCAACAGGATTGCATCTTTTCGCTACAACCACTAATTTGTTGTGTATACAAAGGAATTGTGAAATATTTCTTGAGCCTATTCAAGAATAAGTGAACTATTTCTTAAGCCTATTAAAGAGGCTTAACAATGACAAACTAATCAAGATTCTGAAGCAATGAGTTGATATATAGTTTCTATTACAAGACTTATGACTTGACTTTCGCAAGGAAAGGTCCAAAAGAACTGTCTACATCAAAGATCGGTCCACACAACAACCTCTAATAGGAATTTATTCAGAATTAAAGCTAAACAGAGCTCGATAATAGATCGAGTAACTAAAACCCTAAATCAAAAGCCCTAATAAGTAACTAACAAAGCATATAAGACTGAATTAGATTACACAAAATTCTTCAACGATCTGTGATACATCGATAGCATCAGCATCCCAAAAATTACAAAAGCTTCAACAGATTCAAGCTAAAAGAAGAGGAGGACACAGACCCGTTCTCGAATAGGAAGCCTGTTATGATGGTTAGAGCTCGCCATTACCGTCAAACTCTCTGCCTCTGTTTGTTCTTGGTAACAAATTTGGTGAGAAGGAAATCACCAGATCCAAAGAGACAGAAATCTCGATTCAAATCTCACACAGGTCATCTAGTTGGAAGGAGCGGCACGCATTTCAGAGAGAAAATAGGGTTCAAATCAAAGATTCAGGAGCTGTGATAGGAGGTAAAAAGTAATACACAAAGAAACTAGATTCAGCCGCAATTTAGGGGTTTTTTTCTCTTGTAGATTCGAGGAGCAGCTGCATCTAGAAGAACAAAGCAGAGGCTGACACCATGTAGATTTTGCCGCTGTGAGGCAAGACAAAAGCAAATTTTGGAAAGCAAAAGACATTGTTTGTACTTTGTAACTTTGTATAATAACTAGGCCGAGAAATTTTAATAAAGTAATCCAAAATTTTTGACAATTTAAATTTGTTATTGATAATAGTTTGATACTAAACCGAATACAAATTAGTAATAAATAACTAATAACTAGATTATCTCGTGCGTTTGCAGAAGAATTTTTTTTTAATCTAATTTTATAATATAATTTATATTGTTTATATATATAATATTTTTTCTAATAAATGATATAATTTATTTTTATGTTTAGATATAGTTTTTTTTAAATCTATTTTTACTAACAAATTTTATTATGATTATAAAAATATAATTTTAATCCGTTTATTCGATTAATTCGAAAAGATTATGATTATAAAAACATAATTTTACTCTATCTGTTCATATTATCTATATAATACTTTTTTAATTTTAAGTATTTAAATTTTTTAAATAATTGATTATGAAAAAGCATATGATAATATAACGTTTATTATTTTTGATCATTATGAAAATATTATTTAAATTTTGATATTTAAAAAAAGTAATATCTTATTTACTATTTTGTAAAAATAATAACTAATTTAATAATTTTTATAATTAATCTTAACTATATTTTAGAAAATCTAAACTAATTGAATTAAAATTTAAAATTTTTCGAAATTAATTTTAAGGAAAAAATTTAAATATCTTATTTTATTAATTTTTGTAAATAAATAAAATAGATAAATAAAATTAAAATTTTTGTTTGGCAACAGAAATAATAGATATCCAGAAGTAGAATAGTAGAAAACTAAAAAAAAATCTGTTTGGACACAAAACATGCTTCTATTTTAATAGAAAAGATGCAAAATGTAATTATTATACTTACATATTTACCATTTAAAAAAGAGTCGCTTACACCTAATGACTCTTTTTGAGTTATTAATTACAAATTTAGGCACTTTAAATTTAAGTAGCATTTAATTTATCTGAGTTTATATGTAAGAAATAACATTGATGTCTTTACCAATAAAAAATGAGAATATATCGATTTATATTAAGTAAAATAATCTGGTTCCATCTTTTATCTTTCCCACTCTTTTTCTCTCAGATTTTTCTCTCTCTCAGATCCCTATTCTTCCTCTTCTCTATCTTGTTCTTTTCCTCTTGGATCTCTTTTTTTTTTCTCTCGCTCAGATCTCTCTTCTTCCACTTATCCACTTTGTTATTGATGCGACTGTAAACGGGGTTGGTCGGTTTTACTAAGCTTCAGGTTTTAAATTTATAACCCCTAAATGTCTGCAAGTGCACAGATGTGCGCTGTAGTACTTAGGATATCGATCCACAGAGACTTAGTTGTTTCAGTACGAATTCACACTAATGCTTAAATCAGACTAGAACTAAACAGGTTTAGGTTTTGGTTTTGGGTTTTGGATGTCACTAAATCTAAACTAAAAAGCAAGTAAAAAGCAATTGAAAAACGAAAGCAAATGAAAGCAAGTAAAAGGCGAATGAAAGCAAGGAAAAATCGAATGAAAAAGCAAAGGTTGTAAGCAATAGAAAACGAACGTTGGGCTTAAGGGTATCGCAGGGATTCATGGACTAAACTATGTCGGATTTAAACAAGTGATAAAAGTAATCAACTACATATGTTCTAGAACTCGAGGCACAGAAGTATGAATAACCTACTTTCGCAGCACTAAACAACTATCTCTCGCACCCTGATTAGTTGGTTTTCACTCTGATCCTGGAAGAGAGAAGATGCAATAGCAGAACAAGACTCATCAACATTCACAACTCAACTACAGGTAGGTTTCCACTCCTATAGAATCATTGCTCGTTTCACCCTAGTTCAGACAATCAATTAAAGCTTTTGCAACATATCATATCAGATCGGCTTCTAAGTGGCCAGCATAGAATCACGCGGTAAGATTAAAGGCAAACGAAAAACATCTAGAAGATTAATAATCCTAAACTATCGATTCATAAGCAAAGACACATGAAAAATCCCTATAAACCCAACTGGGAAACTACTCAAACATATTGTAAACAATCATCACAGAGTATAGAAAGTTATAGGAAATTAAAGAAAACAGGGAAGAAGAACGAAGAGCAGAGGCGACGGTGGAGGCGCGATGATGCTCTCCATCGGCGGCTCCTCTTTCTAAAACAGCGGACTCTCTCTCTCTAGGGTTTGTGAGTCTCACACAAAAATCTAAGCACAAAAACGAACACACCCTTTAGAATGACCTAAAGGGGGTATTTATAGCTTCTGGAGTTGTCCTGGAAACTTAGGGCTTCAAAAATAATATAGGGAATCGACTTGGGCTTTAATTAGGTCGTCTGGGAAGTGAATGACTAATGGCCGCGGTCGCGGTTCTTCTACCCGTGGGGAAATAGCCTTTGGCCGCGGTTCCGTCTTGTGCCATCTTCCGAGACTGCATTTTCTGTCTTTATCGCATCGGGTGTATCTGAAGATCTAACCGTTGGATTGTCTCCAAACCAAGTGCATTAGAAATCTGGTTGTATCCTATATGTTTTCACAAATTTTGGGGGTGATCAGACGGTGAGAAGATTTTCATCGCTTGCCATACTTCTGACAATTTGCATTTATCCAAAATTGTTCATTTGTTCCAAATTGCATATCTTTTGTCCAAGTTTCCTGAAAAGTCTTTTGAAACTCTAAAACATTGAAAACACTTTAAAAACCGTTGAAAACAGAGTTAAACACCTGCATAAGACATAATTATGATCTTTAAAAGTGGTCAAAATACGGTGTTATCAACTCCCCTAGACTTATCTTTTTGTTTGTCCTCAAACAAACTTAGATCAAGTCAGGAAAGAATTTTAAAAAAATCGCAGGAACTAAACAATAACTCAGTGACCGTCATTCTAAACCATAACTTATCGTGAAACATCTATTTGGATCTAGTCTAGAAAATTCTCATCAAAATACAAGCAAACTAGTTTGTTAATACGTCATGCGAAAATCTACACACTTAGATCTAACTTCCAGTCAACTAGCTCTCTACATTCATTAGGTGCAATAGTGAATTCTCATCAAAGGCATTATTCAGGGTAAACAGCGTTTGGCATTAAGGGCTGTTTAAGTGGTGGAGTTTAAGTGTTTCGGGTTACCTGAAGATCTGGAGGATGCAAGATATTATGCAAAACCTCAAGAGAGAGAAGGACCTGTTGGTGATCGCTAATTTTCAGTCACTTCTCCTTTGCCAAATGTTGTTGCATAATCTTCCTCCTTTGTTGTAAACAGCTGTTCCCCTAGACTTAGATCTTTTCCGGGAATCATAAAGATGATCTCCAAAACTCCATAGAATCAGATTCAAGCTTGCCTCAAGTAGAAAATTCGATCCTTTTAGACTCTCTAAGGTTTTAAATTTCCTTTCCCTTCTTGTTTTTTTTTCTTTTCTTTTTTTTTCAGATTTTTTTTTTTTTTTTTGAGAAAGGGGAAACACATTTTATAGAGAGGAGTCTAAGGGAAGAAATTGTACCAAGATTTTGAAGTTTTTTCAAGGCAAACTGAATTTTCTCCTTTTGTTGAATCATTCAAATGAAATCGCAAGTCTCCGTCTTCAGTGACTGAAAACCGCGTTGGTCCTCTTTTTCTCCGACGTTTTTGCACATATCTGCATATTGGACAATGAAAAACAAGAGTGCATGTGGTTTGAAAGATGTTAGGTTCGGTGGGGAACTAACTAAAGATAAACTAGCCATTCAGGATCAACAAAGAGTGGTAAAAAGATAAAGGAGTCTTGTATTTATGATTCGTTTCCCTGATCTAATGCTTTAATGAGAAAAGTCAAAATTAAGTCTAGATAAAATGAGCTAGTATATCCTGTCAGAAAGAATCTCCATGAATAGAAGTCCTCTGGTGGGAGTTCGTAGTGCAAGTACTCTAGCTACCGCCTAATCTAGGCCTACATCACAAAGAGAGCAAAAAACAAGAAAATAGCGTAGAAGCACACTGGTCTAAATCATCATAGTAATGTTTTATGTGTTCCTGATTTGAAAGCTTTTTGAAAATTTTTAATGAAAAACGTTTTGAAAAACTTTTTGAAAAATATTTTGAAAAACTTTTTGAAAAATTTTATGTGTCCAAAACAAACTCAAAACAATTCAAATTTTGTTAGTAACAGATGAACATCCTCCCCTAGATTTATTTCACACTGTCCTCAGTGTGATAAATCTTGGAAAGAATGGTAAAGAAAATAGAAAATCGAAGTGTTTAAGTGTACTTATTGTGCTGGAGAATGCTGCTCGTCTTATTGTGCTGGAGAATGCTGCTCATCTTTTGTAATTAAATGAAACAAAAACAAAGCAATAGAAATAGAAAATAAAGGTCAAAGGGAAATAAATAAAATACCAAGTGGGTTGCCTTCCACTAAGCGCTTGTTCAAGTCGTTAGCTTGACATTGTTGTTCGATTAGATTTATCCGGGGTCGTGACACTCCTTGATCTCATCCTTGGCCGATGATGGATCGATTAAAAGCATCACTTCTCTCTTGTCTTCTCTTTCTTCAGCCAGATATGGCTTGACGTGTTGTCCATTCACTGTAAATGAGTTTACGGTTTTGTCCCAAGGACAATGGCTCCGTATGGTTTGCCTTCCTTTATCGTGAAGGGTCCGGACCATCTTGAACGTAATTTTCCTGGAAAAAGCTTAAGACGAGAATTGAAAAGAAGAACTTTATCGTTAGGAGCAAAAGTTCTATGAATAATCTTCTTATCATGATATGCTTTAGTCTTCTCTTTGTAGATCTTCGAGTTTTCGCAAGCATTGTGTCGAATTTCTTCTAACTCGTGAAGTTGAAATAGTCTTCTTTCTCCAGATGTTTTCGTGTTCATGTTCATCTCCTTGATAGCCCGTTGCGCTTTATACTCGAGTTCTACTGGAAGGTGACATGCTTTTCCATAAACTAGGTTGAATGGTGTTGTTCCTAATGGTGTTTTGAAAGC